AGTCAATTTGACCAATACTGTTTTGAGATAGGTTAAAGAACATAACAGAAACTATAAAGTTTTACTGAAAAAAAACATTTGAAATGTATTTAGGGGGTTTTAGGGATCACACAAAGGAAATTTGAGATGAGGAAAGTATTTTTAATTTTAACATGAAAATTACTTTGCACATGGACTATTCAAAACAAATACTCAATATATTCATGGCAAATCTTTATTTTATTTTATTAAAAATACTTCACTAAAAAATAGGATTTTTTGTATTTGAAATACTTATAATATTAATTGAAAGACTGCCAAATTTTGTGAAGATATACACACTATATTAAAAATTAGAAGTATTAAATCTGTAAAGACTTTAAACGAGTACAAAGAGGTCAGGTGGTCGGTCAAGTTGACCGAGCCATGTTGAGAGAGTTAATCTGTAAAACAATGTATGAAAGGTATACATACAGTATTTAACTACAAGGATATATAATTTTAAAAATATACTACATAATCTAATTTTTCATATAATAGAAAAACTGTATATAATACATCAGTAAATAATGTAGATTAAAAAAACATACCCCAGTAAGCTATTTTTTACAAACCAATCCATCAGTGCATACTTCACAAACAGAAGTAGCTTCTATGTAATTGCAGAATCTGTTGCTCCATCAAGGAGGAGAGAAAAAAATTGATTTCTTTTACAAGATTCTCCTCCAGAACTTCACCAGTTATCTGCATAAACTTGCACCTTTGTCTGTTATTGTAAGCAGTACCCTTATCCACTCCATGTCTCTTTTCCAAACCTATAAATTGTTCAAATGACGGTTCTTTTGTGAGTATGTAGGCTGAATCTCTCAAATGAGGGCTGGTCTAACATTAAACTTTAACACTTGGTATTCCAAGGTGCATATAAAACCAACAATTGTGTTATAAGACTGCAATAACAACAAGTTTGTAGAATTGGTTTACTTGGAGAGTAGTAAGACACAATTCATCACAATTGAAAGAGATTGACCACAAAAGTTTTTCTTAGAAACAAAAGCACCTATTTGAACACATTTGTTATGGTGTATGAACATATCTTGGACAAACAATTCTTAAGTAAATAATTGGCTCTCTTTGTTAACAGATACTAGTAGACAGTACAAGATGATGACCAAAAACAGTTTATGAATGTTATGCTAAATCTGACCAAGAACTAACTTTTTAGGATATTGCATTCTAATTCAATTTCAAACTCTATCAACACTTCTCATAATGCTCCATTTAGGCCTGGCATGGCTTGATAGTTAGGGCACTCAACTCACAATCTGCGAGTCACAGGTTCAACTCCCCATCAATGAACATGCTTGCCCTTTCAGCCATGTGGGACATTATAACTTGACAGCCAATCCCATTATTCATTGGTAAAAGAGTAGTTGTAGAGTTGTTGGTAGGTGTTGTTGACTAGCTGCCTTCCCTCTGGCCTGTCACTGCTAAATTAGGGATGGCTAGCACAGATATCCCTCAAGTAGTTTTACATGAAATCCAAAACAAACCATGCTCCATTAGTTGTCAGGAAAAGTAAGATTTCTAGCATCTTTATCTCTGCATTTGACCAAATGCTTGTCTGTGCTAAAAACTAATTAATTCACTCGCTACAGTTTCGGTCAAATCAGCCGAGTTTGTGACCCCAAATTGATCTTTATAGTTTTAATACAATAACTTCTAATGTGTTTTATGTGTTTTCATAATTTTGAAAGCATTCGGTAAGCATTAAGGGTCTTTCATATGCCGAAAATCAGGATTTGTTAAAAAAAGTATTTCACTAAAAATTTCTCCGTGAATATATGGAATCAAAGTATTGATTGCTGAGAGTGCAAAGTGATTATCATGTTAAGATTAAAAATACTTTTCTTCATCTGAAAATTCTCAAATTTCATTTGCTTAATCTCTGAAACCTCATAACTAAATTTCCAATGTTTTGTTTCAGTAAAACTATATTTTATGTTTTCTCTACCCTAACTCTATATGAGGTTGGTCAATTTGACTGACCTAGTAACCACCATAAACAAATATGAAATAAATCTAAATTATTCTTTTTTTTTTTCTTTCTTGAATGTCTTCATATTCTAACATAAAACTACATTTGTTTAATCTAAATAGCTTAAATCTCATAACAGTATACATCTGTTTCTACTTAAATGTTATTGTTTTATTGCCCATTGAACTGTGTCTTACTAATATTCCTGCTACACAAGTTGCAAATCACTTGGCAAATGTGTAGCTCAAATTACCATATCGAATGACATAACATACAGGCTTTTCCTGAGCATACCTCATGAAAATTTTTTATTATAATTATTCTTTATTTTACCCAATCCAACATTATCTAACCTAAATAGTTTCTGATTTTTACCTTTTTGTTACTTTTATAATAGTAAGTAAAGAATACACATGAAAAACTAGAAATATAGTAGTCACCTCAGTCTTCTTTATCTTTCTGCACTAAATAATTTTTTATTTAATCAAATAATATACCAAAGAACACAGAATAATAACACGCTAAAAGCAGGATGATGTCATATTACTACCACAATTTTTTTGGCTTTCTAACTATGTGATAAGAGCTGTTAAAAATTCAGCTAAGCTCAAGGATGTGTTTACAGTGGGAATAAAGTTTAAACTGGAAGTGAACTAGACATTTGATAGATTAAAACCTTGGCTTTCTGTTCATTATAAATAATATAGTGTTAAACATCAGAGATGAGTATTGGCAGTTTGTGAAAGAGGATGTGACAAATGGGCATGTCAAGACCTGATTTTCTATTTTAAGATTGAAAGCTATAAAAGTTATGCTTTGCTGAGTGAAAAAAATTATTATAATGAGTAATTTACTTTAAATTCCATACTTCTCAGAGGGGTGGTTCATAAATTAGATAAGAGGGGATGGGACCAATGTTCCCTCTAATTTCAGTACAGTTCCAGTGAGTTTGCCTGTAAACAAACAACTTTAGAACTTTTTTGTTCATTCCAAAGTATAGGTTTGTATTTACACAGACCTTGTCATTCCTTACAAATAAATTTATCCAAGGTTTTGTTTCTCACTTGACTTTATTGAATATTTTTTGATAGCTGCATTAAGGGACATTTATCAATGCACAGCAAGTAGGTTGAACAGTAACTAGTAAATTTTAGGCACCAAACAAGATAAAACAAATGATTAAACATGGTTAGATAAAAAACATTCTTGTCTATCTGTGTTATTTGTGAAGTATATAAGTCTTGGGTAAGTTGTAATGCATAATTTCTGAAAAAGTGAATAGTGGAAGTCATACTGGAGAACAAAGGATTCTAAGTTGAAATTTACAAACATTATGAACAAGCAAAAAACCAAGGATATTTTTATAGTGTCTTTTGACTGTGTTTTCATACATGATAATGGTTTTGTGTTATGTATGTTTTAAAACTTCAAGAATATTCTTATATGAGTAGACAAAGTAAGAGCTAAATGGATATATAAAGTGGAACTTTGTTCAATAACTTTTAAAAAATGCAGTTTTATATCTTTGTGTTACATTTTTAATAGCTTCTTGTTTTGTAAGTATGAACTTTTATCAACAGGCATGAAAGTGAATATGCCATTATTAGAAACACACAGGCACAACAGTTCTACTTTTATTGAAAAAATAACTGTTAGATACATTTACATGGTTTTGCACATTAAAATAAAAGGAAACACTAAGATGAAAGGAATTATTTTTTAATGTCTTTTTAAAAACTGCATTTTACAACAATATTTTCCAAAGTTCACAACCTAAAATATGACACAAATACTAAACCTAGTTGTATAATTATTTTCAAGCACAAACTACATGTCATGTGAAAAGTGTTCCAAATTTTGTCCAGTCATGTTAAGCATTGTAAGTAGGAGAAAAACAAACAAGGGTGACACAGCTTTACCCAACTTCTTTGGATAAAGCCAAGAGTAAATTGATGCAGTTTAAGTGTATCTTGTTTATCTGTTTAGAAATTAAAACTAAGTACAAAATCCTGCACTGAAATTTAGAAACAAAATTTTAGTAAAGATACATGCATATTCTAAGTTTTGAAATGTTTTATTTGTGATATCTGCATAATGTGAACATTTGAAAAAATTAAAAGCTGCTTTACAATGTGTTAATGTAACATTTTGTTTAAGAAAAAGGATAAGGAAAACCAGCATATTTGTCATAATAAGTATTGGAAGTTTAATTTTATTAGACAAATTTATTAATTTTTTTATTTTGGGTAAGCTAATTGTTTACTTTAAATCTTAATTTTATTAAAATTATTTTTTTTAGTTTATTAGTAATAACTCATTTGCTAAACTGTATCAGTTTTATTACAATGTATTTTCTTTATTTCAGTTTGTTTTGTTTTGTTTTAATTATAATATTCTAAAACTAGTGATAATTTTTCATTTTTGTTCAGAAGGATTAGTTCCACCAATGCCTGTTTCCTACTGTTTTTTGTTGTGGAAGAAACAAACATTTTTATGGTTTATTAGTATAAAAAGGCTATGCTGGTAAAAGCACAGAAACATTTCTAGGACTAACAGAAGCCTTTAAGATGATTATTGGTAGCAAATGTTTTTTTCAAATTCCTCTAAATTAGTCCTTTTTAGAATTTGAAATAAAAGTGTGTGAAAAAACATTTCAGATTCATCTTTTTACCAGCTACAAATCTGTTCAAGAGGTCTTTCATCAGTAAGAGCTCATTAGCCAGGATAGATTATTTGACATTGAAAAGTATATCTCAAATGCTAGTTTTGCTTATTGCACATGCTTTCTTAGAGCCTGTGCTAATATCTATATTTTTATGGACATACATTTTTTCTAAATCAAAGTTCAATTATGGACTTATAAAATTCATGAACATTCAAGTTTTAGTATATAAAGTTAATATCATAGGTAACTGACAAAGTTTGCTTATTTTCCCAAGTTTCATTATAACCAGCTTTGCCATTTATGAAAAATTATTTTTAATAGAAAAGATATATCAAGACTGAACCTTTGAAAACAGAGATGAAAGGCTGGGGATTAAGGAGTGTCGAAGATGTCCCTTCGTAAGTTGATTACAAAAGTATAGTTTTTTGTGTGCAGTGTCTTGTGTTTGTTCTCCCATAAAAATCGTTTTTTAGAGGACATACAGATTATTATTGTATAGAAACATTAATATATTCATTATTAGAAATCATGAACTGTACAGTTGAATTCCACCTGTAAGGAGATTACTAACCATTGACTTGTACTTTTAACTGAAATAACTTGTTAATTTGCTATTAATGGCTAGGAGTCAAGTGCTATGTAATGTTGTCAGGCAAAGTTGTGAATTTTTGGCACTGTACATTATTAATAGAATTTTACAGTAAAAAAATACACACATATACATATATGCCTGAGAGAAAAGATGATTTGTATTCCACTTCTCCCTTTTAGGTTGGCAGTAGATCCTTTGTCCAGCTTATAGCTTGATATTGGCCAGTTCTTGAACAACTCTATTCAGGCATGGCAGTTAATTTTATCTTTTGCTGCTCATGTTAAATATACCACTGCTCTAACCTGAATGTTTCATGTCTCAGTTTGGACCTTTTTAGCAGACTAATCTTTCAAAAATAGGCATTCTGTATGTTATGCATTTCTATACAATTTGATGTTTATGCTGTTCAGTGGTTACTTTCAATCTTTTCTCATTAACTCTATGATAACTGGCTCATGTTGTTTTCAATAGTTAACATTGCTCTCAGCATTTTTCTTTCTAAAAATAAAACTAGTGGATGAAATTGTTTCAAATTTGACAAGAATATTCCTAAAAGTAGTTTCAGAGAATTTTAATTATTTGTAGTATTTCTAATAAAAAAAAATTTATTTAATGTACTTATTTGCACTTGCAGGTGATTTTTATATGAAGTATAAAAATAATATTTTTGATCTTACAGTTTTCACATTTCATTTGTTTAATTTCTAGAACCTCGTAAATGAATATCAAAAGGTAATTATTTATACTTTATTTTCCATTTTCTCTACTATATCACTAACTCTATCTATTATCATCAGCATACAGTGCAATAAATGTTTAAAATTAACAAATGGAAATATGTACATACCTTTCAACTCTTCGTAGAAATCCACTAGAATAGTCGTATTTTTCGTATATGCATAATTTCACATCTTTATATTTTCACGTATAGTTTATTTTTAATTTTCCTTTCAAATTTTTCATCTGTTATCATTTATGCCCATACGTCTACTGACAGCTGTAGGGCTTTATGAAGATATTTCAGTAGACTCCCCACAGAAATGCATTGTAATAACAAGATGGAACTTATATATGGCATCTTTTTTTTTATAACCTTTCACAATTCAGGCAACAAGTTAAACTTATAAAAAAATCATCATACCATTCAAATATGATTTTTGAAATACACATAATACATAATTAACTAAAATGTAAAAGTAAGACCTAAATACAATTTAACTGTCTCTCTAACTATAGCATTTGTGGGTAAGAAACCTCCATAAGTGCTATAGGCAATCAAGCAGACAACAATACGAATGGCAGTTACATGTATACTGTGAGGAAAACTGTGGGCCAACGTCAGATTAACTGTTAATATAGTGTAAACTGAGCTATTTCTCATGACTGTATACACTTGTGTCAATTAACTACGTGTATATTGTAGATCTCAAGGCAAAGTAGAGAAGGTGGGTGTGGCAACCATTAAGGGCTGGAAAATTTATTTCTCTTTCCCAGTGAATACAATTGTGAGACTTTGGATATAACATAACTAGTGTCTACATACTCATGTACATTACCTGCTTATGTTGCTTAGAGTGAACTGCTGCTAAAGTTGAGACACAAAAACTACAGTTTTAAGTATTTTTTGAAAGGTTTTCCTTTGAAACAAAGTAATTAAAACTTAGATATCCTAGAAATTCAAATTATAATGTTAATTTTGTTGACTTGTATTGATAGTGAAGTGATTTAATTAAATTTTGAATGTAATGCAGTAGCATATGCAGAAAGGAATTTAAAAATGGTGCTGGGGTTAATGTAGCTTATTGTCCATCTAGAGAGACAGTTTTATATTTGTATTGGCAGTAATGCTTTCTTGTTTTTCATGATATCTTTCTGATTCAGTGGTGGATCAGATTTAGAATTTCTTTAAATGCTGGTTTAGACCATTGTCACACTAGAGATGCTTTTGATGATGCTTACATATTATGTGTATATTTGAATTCTACAGTAAAAATGCATCTCTGTCAAATTTTATAAATCTAAGTCACTTTTTTTAAGCCAAACAGGTTATAGATGTTTGCCATATTTATTTGTAGTTCCAAAGAAATTGGAGACTAGAAACCTGTGACAAACTTTTTGAGGCTACACGAGTTTTTAGTTCTTCTTCATTTCAAAAATTGTAGATATTAAAAAGTGTTTCTGGTAATTCATTCTCTATTTCAAATAGTTTCTGTGGGTTGTTTTTACAACTATTCTGTTTGTCACTTTAGATGAATACTCTGGTTTGTCCATAGTGTATTCCATTTTCTGGAAGCTAGCTGTGTGGATTTTGCTGAATGGTTATTTATCCAAGTTATAAATTTCTGCAGTTGTAAATGAAATCTTAATAAACACTCAAATGTATTATTTCCAGTAAGTCTAGTGAGGTGGACTAGAAAGATTCTTAACCCTTTCACAATGGGTACCCTATTAAATACCATTTAATGCAAGTCAATAAGTTACATTCAAAATTTAATTAAAGAACTTTACTATCAATGTATGTGAATGAAATTAGCATTATAATGTATGTTATAATTCGAAGTTTTTGTTTCAAAGGAAACCTTGAAAAAAATACTTAAACTTCAGTTTTGTTGTCACGTGACCCATTAGTTATCAAAAATATCATTTTCACACTTTCTATCTTAAACCAGATAACCCCAGTCTGGTTGATGTATGTATAGACAATAAGTATGTTTAATTGCCCTATTGAAATGTATGTTCCAAAGTTCTTTGGCCAAGTTCTGTTGAAACTAGAAATAAATTTTTTCCAACCTCTGAGAGGTGCTATGACCACCATGAGCTTTACAAGTTACATGTAGTTGCTTGACACGTGTATATAGTAATTAGAAAGATCTCATTTTACATCATAATCCAATAATAGTTATTTTGAAATTGGCACTCAGTTGCCATCATTGGGTAGATGTAACTGCCAGTAGTATTGTTGGCTGATTTGTCCATGATAGCACTTACAGTTGTTTCATACCTAAATATGTTATAGTTAGAGACAGTTAGATTGTATCTAGGTTTTACTTTTATATCTTAGTTAATTATGTATTATCTATGTTTTAAAATTTATCTCAAACATTGTCCCATTTCTCAAGGTTTGCGATCTTGCTCGAGTGTAAGATAATTTTGCCAAAGGCTTGCACATCTCTTACAAAAGTACTGTAATATCCTCGAGAGTGTCATTGACTTGTGTTGAAATGAATAATAAATGGTAAAGGACAGGAAAGAAAAATAAAACATTAAAAATTAAATATATGTGAAAAGGAAAAGACCCGAAATTTCAAATATCACCAAAATATGATATTTTAAGATATTCTATGACAAATTAAAAAGTATGTACGTTTTTCTATTTCTTAATTTTAAACATTTCATTGCTCTGTATGTTGATGATATATTTACAGTTAGTAATATGGTAGAGAAAATGGAAAATAAAGTATGAACACATACCGTAAAACAACTTAGATATTAATTTAAGAGGTTCTAGAGGCTATGCAAATAAAACTCAGATTGTAAGATGAAGAAAAGTATTTTTATACCTAAATGAAAATCACCTTGCACTCGAACTATTCGGAGTCTGAGTACAAATAACTGCAATAAATAGATAACAGTTTTAGTAGAAAGATGTAATTAAAATAATATCACTTTAATTGCTAAAATTAGTCAGGCATATCTGAGGAACCTGTGTTTGTCTGGACAGACCAGTGAAAGGTGTCTTAGTTAATATTTCATATTCTTTTCAGGAATCGCTTTTTGTTCACTAGTCAGATCCAATACAAGTGTGGGAATGTTAAATACATCTGTTCATCGATCCATCTGAGTCAGGATGGTATATACTATTGTGGATTTCCTTTTAATGTGATAACCTAGAATTTAGACTTGTATCAATTTACAGAATTTTTGGACCATCTGCCGAGTCTTATTACCTCTTACTTTGGTTCTCTTTTTTCAACTTAATTGTGGTGATGTGAAAGTGATAGTATTTCTGATATTTAATTTCCAGACCCAATATGTATTCTTTTTTGGGGGGATTACATGTAGATCACTGCATTGTCCCTCAAATTTGTTAATTTCTATGAGTTATGATTATAATTAAAACTCAGATTGTATTGTTTGTTTAGAATGGTTTTACATTCTCTGATATTCCATTGGCTATGTGTTAGTCATCTCATGTTTACAATTTTTTCACATCTCCAAATTAAAAGTTTCTGCTACTTCAGGCACAGTGTAGACCCTCAGTTGTTAGAAGTAAATGTTTTGAATCAAAACTGTCAACAATTTCCCTCTCTCTCTAAATCTTAAGCTGTATATCCCTTTCATGATAATCGGCCAGATGTTCAGTGTAAAACAGTTTATGCAGAAAGGCTACCTACATCTGAATACTTAGTTTTCTTTAGTTCTTTCACTCCTTTTGCCTAAAATCTTTTTGATTTTAGGAAACAAAATCTTGGCAGTGTTCTGATTTCAAAGGCTCTAACCTTAACTTTTTTTTGTGTGCTGGAACTGTCTATAAGATATTTTCTCCTCATGCTAACTTTACAATGTAGTGTTTGAAATACTTTTACCTTTCTTGTGTCCCACATTCTATTTTTCACGGAAAATTTGGGCAGCATGAGAAAATGATTGGATATTTTCTTCCATAATTCAGCATTTCTTTTCAATCAATCTAATTCCTCAAACCTCTTATATTGAGTTTATATAGGTGATTGTTTCTTACTTTGTGCATTGTATTGTCATGTTGTATGTCAAAGATTATTTATATCTTGTAACATTAGTGGGGCTAATGACTTGTTCCCTACTATAAACTTGAGTTTACTGAATATTCTTGACAAGCGGAGTTATGTCTCTTGCTACTGACACTTGCTATGCTTTGAATAACATGATCAGTGCAGCTTTGTGGACCTTTCCATCTGGCTTCATATATTTGTTTGTTTGCCATACATCAAAGTGTCTTCTATTTATGGGTTTTGGCTTCCTTGTGATAGTTTCCATAATAGTTGTTCATGAAATTTACACCTAGACAACAGCAATGTCTGTCATATTCCAGCCAGCCTGATGGCAGCTGAATCATGCAGATGTAGTGTGGATGACATATTATAACATTCTTCTTTGCTTTCATTCAAGTGGGCACTTAACATTTCTCAAGCCATTCAGCATAACTATGTGAAAAAGTCTTGGTTGTATTAAAGGCTTAAGTTAAGAAAATTTATCCAGTTACTAAAGTTAAATTTCCAAAGATTTTTTCAGAGCCAGTGTTTAGATCATTTACTGAATTAGGATCAGTTTTCACTAAGATATTTTTAAGGTAAAACCAAAGTATTTGAATTTAAGCTTTATTTGTCAGAAAACATATTTGTACCACTCATCATGAAAGTTTTCTTGTCATTAAAAAGCAAAATGAATGTTTAATTTTTTCTAGTCTTAGTGATGGAGTAATGCAGTGCTTTCAGAGAGTTGTACATAAATGAAGTGCATTTGTGAAATATCTTCTATAGTAAGTATTCTCATTGAAAAAAAAGCTGATAATTTACATTTCTATACTGTAGAGGAAGTTTTGTCATGGAGTACGTTGGAGAAGTTCTTAATCCTCAACAGTTCAAACAACGAGTTAAGCAATATGCAAGTGACAAAAATACCCACTATTATTTTATGGCTTTAAAGAATGATGAAATTATTGATGCTACAACCCGAGGAAACATTTCTCGATTTATCAATCATAGCTGTGATCCGAATTGTGAGACACAAAAGGTATGTTTTTATTCATGATAAAAAAGTTTGAATGTGTAAAATGTAACTTTCAGAAACTGTCAAGTAAAGCTGAGCAGTTAGCAGTAGATTTTTATTTTCAGTGAAATCAATCATAGAATGGATGTTTTGCCCTAAAACTAATTTTTTCCACAATTGTTAAACAGTGAAAGTTACTATTACTTAACGTGTTTAGTCTTTTAATTAACAAATAACTAGGTGTTCTTGTATAAATTTTTTTTTGCAAGAAGTTTTATTATGCAAATTACAAACTATATTTATGCATTATTAAATTTAAGACTCATATAGGCAGTATAAAAATTTTACTGAATTTCAGCTATACTTTTTTTCTGTTATTTCATTGGTTTAAACAGAAGACAACTCTCTGGGGTGGTACTACCTATACTTAGGGTAATTACACTTTCATACATAAGGATGTTCTGTGCTGTCCTTTGAACTGCAGTCTTTATCATCGATCAGGATCAATCTGATAGCCATTTTAACAAACTTTTGTGACAAATTACAAAACCAATCATAGGCCACAGATCTTGACAATTTTCCTAATTCCCGTTACTGTACATAGACATTATTTTCTAAGACAGTAGTAACAGAAGACTGTTGACCCTGGTTTGGAGGACTTGAAAATTATGTAATTGAATGTACTTACTGTAATTTCAGTTTCTTCTCACAAGAAAGAATTGCACGAACTTCAAATCCTTGTTTGTTAACTTGGTAACAGTGCCAGGAAGCTTGTCCAGCTTATACCAGTGGCTTTTAGTGTTAGGAGGTTTTATTTCATAACCATAGCTTTCAGTTTTTGGATGGGTACACTGCTGCATATTGGCTTGGAATGTGGTTTTAGAGACTTTTACTAGTTCTATGAAGAATACTGAAAGACTCCTTCTTTGAAGTGTGTCTTTCGAGTATATACCATTTAACATTCATGTAATTTAATATTTTTTTACAGAAAAGCTGTGGTACCATTGTACTGTCAAATTGTCAGGAATTTGCTATGAACTGTGTGTGTGTGTGTGTATATATATATATAGATATATATATATATATATATATCTA